CCCATCATTGCTTCTTATTTTGGTTTCTTGCTTAGATGTGAGTGAGTAGTGGAACATCGTACTTCCAGTTTCTTTTTTCCTGTCCTTATATCTTGATTACATTTTCTTTTTGTTTTTCTTATTCTCCTAGTTGAGTCTCCCATAACTCTGAACATTTCCACATTATATTGTAACCCTTATTCTGTGCCTGATTCCTTCCATGTTGGGAGGGTCTGGTCAATGTTACCAATTTGACAAAAAATCACTAAATGTTTTGTGTCAGCAAAGAAAGACATCACACATGGAGAATTTTAACTTAACTATTTTTATTAAACGGGTAAGAAACAGCTTGCTGAAAAATCTTTCTCTATCTAGCTCAGCCAATCAAAATCGACTTCCTTATTTTGGTTTGCATCTGACCCCAAAGGTCAACCTCCAGAAGTCAGAGCCAAGATACACTTCCACTAAAAAATAATAGTCTGCTAAACTATTATTTAATATTTTGATTTTGTACTCAGACACACTGTCCAGCACTGAGGCATATATGTTGGTCATAGTACATTTTCTGTAGAGATTGCCTCTGGTAGAGACAGTAAGATCATTTTGGTTGCTCGGTATAGCTTTCTACATGGCAGATTTAACTAACTGTAAGCAACATTCTGCAAGACCATATAATTGTGGGTATTTCGGGTATGATTTGTGAGGTTCAAACTAACACTATTTGGGGAACTTGTTATATGCACTAAAATTATAATGGGGTCCACTTTTGCTTATGCCTCTTTCTGGGGCTCCCAATTCTCCAAATAATTGCTTCATCAGCTTTACAACCTTTTGAATTGAAAATTCAGTCAGCTTGCACAAAAATTAGTATTTTGAATAATAATCAACAACCAAAAGAAAGTCATGTCCACCAAAATGATATAAGTTAGTAGACACAATTTGTCATGTTCTTAGTGGAATTTCATGTAGCATAAAGGTTTCAACACTGCTCCATTTGATGTTCCTGGAATATGCCACATTGTTGAAACTGAGGGCTTTACAGAGCCCTCCAAAAAGCAAAGAAGTCTCATTTGATATTCAACTGGAGTAGAGCATGAGCAGCTCTATTTGGAATTAAAGAGCTCTTTGCTCCTTGCTCCAGAATTATTTGAATTTTTTTTAAACATTAGTTTGTATTCTACAATAAAAAAGAAAAGGAAGGAAAATCTGGGCTAAACTCTTTGAGTGATTATTATTATGTCTGTGCTAAATGTATGAGAGAGAGACTGAGAAAGTGTGTGTGTTTTAGTTACACATCAAAATGGAAGCTATTTCAACTTCTACTCGGTTTTGGTAAAGAGGCAAGTGACTTTGACACCTAGTGATGTGTGAGTGCCAGTGAAAGAGAGGGAATATAAATTCTGTCTGTAGGTATTAAGGTGGGGGAAGAAATTTTTTGTTTTTATGACAAATTTTCATTGCTGAATGAATAAAACCAATGTTTTCTTTTTGATTTACTGACAATTTACTTTTGTACACAATTTTGCCATTATTACTTATTATTATTATTATTATTATAAGAAAGTTATTAAAAAATAATTGAAATCTTTACAGGTAAATAACTTCCGTTGAATTTTCTTGCCTATTTCTCTCGATATTCGTCCAAATAAAATTGATTCTTGGTCAGAAATGATACTTTTTGTCCTGAAATAAAATTCTAATTTACTTTTTAACGTATATAAAAATTGGGTGCCCAGAAAATTCAGTAATTTTGACAAGGTAGGAAAATTTGGTAACTATGAAATAAAAGTTGATTGCAAATTGAAAGAAAAGTTGTAGAAAAAAGAGGCTATATAGTTCTTGCTTTTTTAAAAAGAAATAACTATAAAATTTAATTTATTTACTACTTTTTTATTATAATAATAATTTGAAAATAAGGTACAAGTACTTAACTTTAACTTAGATAAATTGATTTTATTTGCTTAAAAACAATAGAGTATAGTAATTACTCATTTAAAAAATATTTATTTAAAAATATTGGTGTGGGGGGGGGCTACCCCCCCCTCCTTAAATTCCACTGATCTGGGCATTACAGCCTGATATTGTTGTAGTGGGGTTTTTCTACACTTCCCCATAGGTAATAATACTTTTTTTTTTTAAATATTGGGGAAGCAGGCCTAGGCTCCTAAGCACTCTCTTCTGCAAGTACAGCCCTGCCATTGTACTGGGGTTTTATCTGGATTCCACAATTCTCAGTTATATAAAAATATAGAGGAGGGGGATGAGGAATTCCAACTCCAGAATGGCTGTAAAATCAAATTTTCAATCAAATTGTTACCGAATTTTCCTACCTTTTCAAAATTACCAAATTTTCCTTTACTGAATTTTTCAAAATTCATAAAATTGAACTTTTATGCCAAATGTCTGGTGCCCGGAAAATTCAGTAATGGAAGATTTGGTTTATTACTGAATTTTCTGTTACTGAATTTTCCAGGCACCACTGCAACAATATCAGAGCCATACTTTCTGGATATTTTAAAATATTTTTAAATATGTAAAATCGATTTATCTACATTAAAGATAAGTTCTTGTATCTACTTTTCAAATTATTATTTTAATAATACTTTACAAAAAAATATTGGGGAAGGAGGCCTAGCCCCCTAAACCTGCTTTCTGCAAGTACAGTTCTATTATTGTTGTAGGTTTTTTTTTCTGGACACCATGATTTTCAGTTTTTAATGGAGTTGGAGCTAGAGCGGCTCGTTTTTGAAAACAGGGAGCCAGCTTCAATTTTGGGTATGGGAGCAGGAGTGTGAGCAGCTCCAAAAATAGTGGAGAGCGTAAAGCCCTGGTTGTACCATTTTTTAACGATATAACTGTTGATGCCACTCCAGAACACACTAGCCTTTTTCTTTAAGCTTGCATTTCTCTGCTCCTTGGTGACTGGAATTGATTTTGTGCTATATATCCTCTTGCATGGATTTTCAAATCATGATGCAGTGTCCTTTAAGCAAAATTCCTATTTCAATAATCATTTCATTGTAACAGAGAGAGGTATACACATACACACATCACATGAATGCACACATGCAAATATAACTTTTATTGACTGGAAGTGGAAATGGTATTTATATATCAAAGTACAATTTGGTTTAAGATGTGTGTTTACCGATGAGAAACACAATCTCAGGCAGGAGGCGATGTTTTAAATCTGGGTCATTAGAAAAAAAAACAATGAAAAAATGATCTAAATAAAATTTATCGGTTAAAAATTGAAATAGAGCTTACTTAGGCTACGAGATATTTGGTTTTGTTTAACAGTATTTGTTTTGATTAAAAGGTTGAATCAATGTTTAGATATCCCAAAGTATAATTTTGGGAAAGCGAGAAGAACTCATGGTAAATAATTGGAGAATCGGTTTACATGTCAAGGGATAGTTTTTGGCACTCATGATAATCGCATGCTGGGCCAAGGGTTGATTCATGATCAAACAGATTTATCTATATAAACCAGCGTAGTTATGCTGGAGAGAGAAGCAGATGGTCGAGTGAGACAGAAGAGGCCAGATAGGAGAGAGAGATGGGATCGGTCGGCACATCGTCGTCATGTGCATGAGCACCCGCAGGCGACTATTACGGGTCATGGTGCTAGAAAAAGGCGGGAGAGAGACTCAGAGAATGAGACCATCGTCGAGAGAGTCACGAGAGATTTGTGGGAGAATTAGAGAAGGAAGACTTCCCCCTGTTCTGAGAAGTCTGTATGAGACTGGACTACTAGTCATAAACCTACCCCAGGCGATTCAATACGCGTTTATCACACACAAACCCTCTCTCTGTTGGGAATTCGTTGGATGCATTGTGTCTTTTTCTTTTCTCATTTATGTTAAATGTTTTCATTCACCCTGTAACCTCTGTTCTGATGTTATCTTCTCATATAAAAGACGTCAATATTGTTGTCTGGCTTCTGCAGATATTATTTCTTGTTTTATTTTGCCACATTCTAAACTTCCTACCACCAACTCTCACAGCCGTGTCCACACCCCCAGTCGACCGTGAACGTATGGACAACACACGCCGCTTACTGGATCTAAAAACTAACACAGCGTGGGGAGCAAGCGGGACTTGACCAGTGGAAATAATCTACGGGTACTCAGGGAGCGTACGGCCAGTTACACCTAAGTTCGGTTCGGACCGAGTGGACACCTCAACCCAAAGAGGAAGACGCCGGAGGTTGAGGGGCTGGGGACGAAGTGGTAGATCATCCATTGCTGCATTCTTGTGTTTACTTTGAATGAGTCAGGCCATCCTCATAGATCTCTCAAATTGCACATACTTTGATCAGCACATTATGCTTTGTCAACCTCTCAGATGAAAATTGAACAAAATCAATTTCAATGTCAATGACTTCTTTCTATTATTTGACAGCCTAGGGTTGAAATATGTGAGTATCATCTCCTTGCATACCAAATCATTAATTTTCTGTAGAGAATTCTGATGACTTTTCCATAACGATTTCAGACTCTTCCCAGACATTGTTCCTTCCTTTTTTTTCAGTTTCTCCTTTGGTTAAGTTTTCTGCAGAATTTACCACTGCCAACAATTAAATATGCTTTGTACAAAGCAACAAACACCATATGTTTAAAATAAGTCAACCATATTTTCTATACTGTTTTAAGGATAATTGACAAAGCTCACTTTTTTAACATAATGACAGTCAAAGGGATATAATTAAGATTATATCATTACAGCCACCAGGTATTAATGCATTTACTGATAAAATCCATACCAGTAACTCTGTTAGAAAAATATATGCAGTTATGGTTGAGAGCTCTTGCTACAGATAACCAAGAGAGAAAAAATATCAAACAAGGAATTATATATTCTTTAAATAAGAAATGACGTGGCATTAAGAGGAGGCTGACAAAAATGCCTATTAAAGTGAATAATAATAATAATAACAATAATAGGGCATGTTGACTGTGCTCACACAAATTACTGAATAAATGAAGATTGACAATTATATTTTTTTTTATTTTTACCAGAAACCAATTGGAGCCAAAGTTAAAAGAATTAAAAAGTGAGTTTTCTTTATTTTTCATTTTTTTTAACTATTTTTTAAGTGAATAGAAATTGTTCTAATCCCTTTTTTAATATTTTAATAAAAATATCAATTTGGTTAAATGAACACCATATGCATCTGACTACTGTTTTTAATTTGCAATAAGTTTAGTTCATTTAAAAAATACTGTGGTCACTTTTCCAACTAATGGATCACATTTGATTTCATTTTTTTCTTTGGAAGACAATTATTAAATTATTAAATTTTTCTGCAGGATCCAAAGTTGTCTACCAAATTCATTTTCTGTTTATTTAATAGACATTTGCTGGAAAGTTATTCTTTGTTCTCTCAGGTATTTGAAAATGACACAATACTCAATGTTGCTTAGTTTTGCTATTGTGATTAATAAAAACCATTATGTCAGTATATAGTTGATATACAAGTGTAAATACATGCTAACATACAATTATATATATTTATATTAAAGCTGAAGAATTAACACCTTATCATATATCCTGCAATTCTCAACCTTTTGTGAATTATTCAAAATGGAGAAAGTAAATTAAAACCGGAAAAAAATCAAGGAGTCACCCCAATTTTTAAATTTGTAATTTGGCACGCTAAAGAAGACTGTAGAAAATTTTCTTAGCACTCATTTTCTAAATAATTATAGTAGTGTATCCACTATTCAGAAAGTATCTGTGATAAAATAATATAAATTATAGTTATCTTTAATAAGTTATTCTCCTTCATAGACCGGACTAAAATGACTACATTTAAAGCTGTAATTTTGATACAAATTCAAGCCAAAGGAAAAAATACAAATAGCTGCTAAAAGTAAATTTTGGTACTTATAAAATATTTATGTTAAGACAATGAATGAGATTTTTGCATGTCAACTCCTCGCAAGTCGTTGCCAGAATCAATCGACCATTGCATGAGTTGTCTAAAGACTGCAACTACAAACTGCAGAAGCCTACCGAGAGGAATCCATTTGTGATGCATTCATCAATGGTCTGGACACTAATCTTATTCGACAGAGACTCGAGAATAGAATGTTGGACTTGCAGAATGCTTATAGCCAGGCTCGTTCTCTCAACCTTGCACAAAAAAATGGTGTTGAAATGCAACAGAATCCATCCACACCGACCATGGGTGCAGCTGCCAAAGAAGAGGAACCACCTGCAAAAGCCACATTAGCCGCGATAAAATAACAATGTTGGTTTTGTGGAAATTTACATCACCCATGAAGAAAATGTCCTGAAAAGGCAAGTGACCTGCCATAAATGTTCCCAATCCAGATATTTTGCAAAAATGTGCCACTCAATCAAGCAAGTCCAGTACTCAGTCAACTGCAATATGTCCACGCAGTTCACACAATATTGATCTATAACAGCCCCACACATTCAATTATTTATTCTGCTGCTACTGAATCTGTATTTTAAAGTATCCACTAATATACTCATGAAAGGACAAAAACTGAAAGCCCTAATTGACAGTGTAAGCACTGAAAGAAGCTTCATAAATCAAAATGTTGCCAAAAGGCTTAAATTGAAACAATATACGAGCTCGAGATCAATCCGCATAGCTGCAAGAACACAGATCACAGAATTTTCAGGATATTGTATTGTGGACCTCAGCCTTCTTGGACATAAGTACACAAATGTTCATCTAAATGTAATTAGTGATTTGTGTACTGATATAATCCATGGAACTGATTTTCAAGAGCAGCACAAAAGTGTATGATGGTAGCAAACCAACATTAACCTTTTGCACCCTTACAGCTATTAATGTCAACACTCCGACCTCATTTGCTAATTTATCTACAAATTGCAAACCCATTGCAAACAAACCACAAAAATTTTCAAGACCAGACCAACACTTCATTGATTCAGAGATGCAACATTTGCTAAAAGAAGGAATCATTGAACTAAGCCTATCACCATGAAGGGCACAAACATTATTTATGAAAGAAAATGGAAACCATAGAAAGGGAATGGTCATTGCTTATTTTCAGACAGTCAACAAATATACACTGCTAGATGCATACCCAATGCCCAACATTGAAAGTACTGTCAACCAGCTAGCCCTGTACAAGTACTTCAGCACAGTAGATTTAAAAAGTGCATATCACCAAATCCCACTGCATCCTGATGACAGGCTTTAAACAGCTTTCCAATCTGGGGGTCAGCTCTACCAATTTACCAGGATGCCATTTGGTGTGACCAATGGGACTGCTTGTTTCCAAAGAAAGATGGATGAATTTATCAGGAATTATGATCTACAGGATACATATGCCTATGTTGACAATCTAATAATCTGTGGCACCACTTTGGAAAAACATGATGTCATCCTTCAACATTTCCAAACGGCTGCCAAACTGGACAAGTGGACATACAATGAAGAGAAATGCAAATACTCTGCCCAGACAATTGATCACTTGGGATATCACATATACGAAGGGATTATCAAGCCCAACCCAGAGCGTCTGCGAGCATTAATGGAACTACCTGCTCCCCAAAACCCAAAGTCCTTATAATGTATAATTGGAATGTTTGCATATTATGCAAGATAGATCAAGAAATTTTTTGACAAAATCAAAAATTAAAATCAACACATATTTTTCCACTATCAGGGGAGGCTTTGTTAGCTTTCCAGACACTAAAATCTAACCTGGTAGATACCAGCCTGGCTGCAATCAGTAATAATCTGATATTTGTCATAGAAACTGATGCATCACACAACTCTGTGTCAGCAGTACTCAGTCAGGACAATCAACCAGTTGCCTTTCATTCAAGATCACTTCAAGGCAGTGAGTTAAACTATGCACCGGTAGAAAAGGAGGTCCTTGCAACAGTTGATGCTGTTGAGAAATGGAGGCACCTCCTAATTGGTAGACACTTCATTTTAAAAATTAACCAGAAGTCTATACAATTTATGTTTGATGCACAAAATCATGGGAAAATAAAAAATGAGAAAATTCTGCACTGGAGAATCAATCTTGCTTCTTTTAGTTTTGACATCCAGTACCGTGAAGGTAAAGAGAATGTGGCAGTGGACACTCTCACATGAACCAGTTGTGCTACCTTCTCTGACAACAAACTGTTAAGATTGCGTGAATCCTTGTGTCACCCAGGTGTAACCAGAATGATACACTTCATTTGAAGTAAAAACTTACCATATTCTGTTGAAGAAATCTGCATGATGATAGCCAACTTCCAAACATAAAACCAAATTTCCACAAACCATCTAACCTACACCTAATCAAAGCCACTCAACCTTTTAACCATCTGAGCATTGACTTTAAGGATCCACTACCTTCTTCATCTCGCAACAAGTATCTGTTAACCATCATAAATGAATTTCCCAGGTTCATTTTTGCCTACTCATGTCCAAACATGGAAGCTAAAACTGTAATGTCCAATTTATTCTCCATATTTGACATGCCCGCTTACATCCATAATGACAAGGGATCCTCATTTCTTTCATAAGAAACAAAAGCATTCCTATACAATTATGGAGTTGTCACTAGTAGAACTAATCCTTAAGTTATAATCCAGAAGGTAAAGTAGAAAGATACAATGGTGTCGTCTGGCAGTCAATACTTCTAGCACTAAAAACCAAGAACCTTTCAGAATCACATTGTCTGAAGCTTTACATGCTAGTTGTTCATTGTTGTGCACTGCAAGTAACTGTATGTCACATGAACAACTATTCAAGTTCAACAGACGATCAACTAATGGGACCACCTTACCCACATGGCTAAGTCACCCCAGTAAAATATTGGTGAAACGATGTCCCCAGAATAACAAGCATGAACCACTGGTTGATGAGGTGGAATTCCTGGAAGTAAACCCACAATATGCCCACATCAGGAAATTCAAGGTTGGTCTTGGCCTTCCCGCTAACTTGGAGCCTGTGCATGTAAATTTTGGTGCAAATCCGTCGAAAATTGCAGCCGTGCATTCGTTACACACACACGCACATATCCTACCTTTTATAGATAGAGATTATTCTCCTTCATAGAATAGTTCTAAAATCAATATCTTTGTTTACACCTCATGTGTCTTTTTGAGTTGAATATAACCTTAATTGCCCAAAGGTATTTTCTTCAGTCTCATCATTCACCACAGTATCAAAATACCCAAATCTCAGATTTTGTATAAATATGGCATACACTCTGTTTCAATATGAAAGATAAGTAGCATAATATACATCCTTAATTTTAACATTTTTGGAAATTAGAACAATTTTTACAATTGTATAAGCTTTATTGGTTTTTAAAAGTATATTGGAACTTTCTACTTTAAAATAGGTAATACCTATATAGATGTTGTCTTAGTCCTGGGCCATATGCCATCATTTTATGGCAAAAAAACTCATTAAAAATATCATTTCATTTAGTCATGATAGAAATGGATGTTTAAAAATATGTATCATTGAAGAATAGAATATTTACAGTTCTTCAGATTTAATTTGATACAAGTTGTCCAGAAATTAAAGTCATTTAAACTTTGATCACTGTTCAGATTAACTGAGAGGTTAGCATCAGCCATACTGATGAAAAGTTAAAAATGGTTCTCTCAGATGATTAAAATAGAGCAATTTTGCTTTTGAGACATTAAAATTAACAAGTGACACCTTTCTTCATTTAACAACAGATCGTAGATAATTTTTGAGATCAGCTGCCAACTTGACGTCATCAAACTGATCAGAATATTAAGACAGGAGTAGTTAGTAGTGTCAGCATAGATACCAAGCTGAGAACTAACATGATTGGACAGAGTCAACACTTAAAATTTACATTAGTCCTCTTTAGTGTTTACATCAAATTGTTGGAGAACATATAATGCCTTAAATCTCAAAAAACATTTAATCTAATTTTTTTTATCCTTTATTAAATTTAATGATTTCAATCTGTTTAATAACACTCTCCTATTTAATGGTGTCAATGTTAAAATAAATATCTTTCCAGCCACTAGCAAAAGTACGAATTGCTTCCCTTTATCTATTCTTTT